AGCTCTATTTATTGACCTGTCCAAAGCGGTTGATACCTTCGATCATCGCATCTTAAAGCAGAGGCTACTCAGTATTGGCATATCCAGCCATGCAGTGGGGGTGGTTTGTGAACTACCTCTCTGAAAGGTCCCAATGTGTTCATTTTGATGGGCTCACTTCTGAGTGGTTAAACATTACAAATGGTGTACCGCAGGGTTCTGTTTTGGGTCCACTTTTATTCTCCATCTATATCAAAAGCTTAGGTCAAAATGAGGATGAAGAAACTTTACATTTTTATGCTGATGATACCGTGATGTATTGTGCAGGTCCCTCCATTAAGGAGGCTGCTGTTAAATTACAGGCTGTTTTTAATATTATTCAGACGCAGCTCTCTGAGCTTAAGCTTCTTTTAAATGTGGATGAAACTAAGGTAATGCTATTTTCAAAAGCCAAAAAGACACCGGAGACAACTTTGGATATTGTTACTATGCAAGGACAAGTACTTGAAGTGGTTACCTGTTATAAATACCTTGGTATCTGGCTTGACGATTGCCTCTCTTTTAAACCTCAGGTCAATACTCTGCTTAGAAAGCTGAGGGTGAAGCTAGGTTTCTTTTTCAGAAACAAGTCCTGTTTCTCGCTTGAGGCCAGGAAAAGGCTATTCTCTGTGACCTTTGTACTTGTGCTGGACTATGGTGATCTGATCTATATGAATGCACCTGCCCATTACCAGATCAAGTTAGATGCCGCTTATCACAGTGCGCTGAGATTTGCACTTACTCATCACTGTACCCTGTATGCCAGGGCAAGTCTGCCATCACTTACTGTTCGGAGACTCAGTCATTGGTACATGTTTATATATAAAGCGATGCTGGGTAAACTACCACCTTACATCTGCTCACTGATATCACAGAGAGTCACAAGTAGCTATTGCCTAAGATCCCAGGATGTGTTTTTATTACATGTGCCAAGTGCTAGGACTGTTTTAGGCACTAAAGCGTTTATGTGTGCAGCTCCTCTAGCTTGGAACACTCTGCAAAACATTTAGAAAATGAGCATTTTGGTTCCCCTGCATCATTTTAAAGTACAGCTGGATGAAATGATATTTGATACTCCTGGTACCTGTCTTTGTGAATAGGTTTGTAAATTGTACCCCTGTCATTATGTTGTATGTGTCCTTTTGTTTTCTGTTGTATTCCTTGTAAAAGAGATCGTTGATCTCAATGGGATTTTTACCTGGATAAATAAAGGCTACAAACAAACAAACAAAAGTGAGAAAGATACCAAGGCTTAATTTCTAAAGGACATATTGAAGAAACCTGACTCCAGATGCCCAGGTTTTTGTGAACAGTAAAAAACTGGCCTTCCTGCGACTGTGGCTGCAAGGGAGTGCGGTCATCTTTCAACCAGAAGGTTGTGGGTTCGATCCCAGCCCTTGCAGCAAACATGTCGATGTATCCTTGGGCAAGATGCTTAACCCTGAGTTGATCCCGATGGCATGGCCAACGGTGTGTGAATGTGTATGAATGTTAGTTCCTAGAGTAAGTTCCACTGCTCTGTATGAATGAGTGTGAATGGGTGAATGACATGTATTATGTGAAGTGCTTTGAGAGGTTGTAAAGACTGGATAAAGCGCTATATAAGTACAGTCTATTTACCATTTCCTCTGATGAGTTTCAACGAATGTTTTTACAATATCTCCTCTGACAAGTCCTCTTATTGAAGAAGTTTGAAGATTCAACTTATTGTCATTACGTAACAGGTACTATGTAACAAAACGGTTTCTCTGCATTTGACCCATCCCAGTGTTAGGAGCAGTGGGCTGCCATTATGTACGGCGCCCGGGATGACCCTAACCCTAATATAAGGAGAAGACCAGTTCGTAAAATCATAACAGTACATGTCCAGCATGCTTTGGCCTAAAGGCTAAGTAGATGTCCAAGAGTCAAAAGGTTGCTGGTTTGATTCCCAGCATGGCAGAGTGAATTTTGGAGAGACATTTATGCAATATTTGCACAATCAAGCATTTCCTTATTATACTGAGAAAGCAATAATAAAAGTATATGTTTGAGGATGTCACTCTTCTGAGGCATATACTGAGACGAGGTGTCACTGTCAGAAATAGCCAGAAGGGGGCAGAAACACCTCAGCTGTAAACATGTTCCCTTTAGTATTACACTCCATGGTGTTTCCTTTTTCCTCCCAGGTAGATTTTATTTTCACACTATTACTGTACGTTCAATTGATGGTTGCACAGTACTAAATAGAATCTTATAATAGTGACAACTTTTGTTTTCCCTTTAGATCATTTATGTTAGACGTGCATACAAGTGAAGAGGTTTTCACAGATGGCATTTGGCCAAGTGGTGGATGTCTGCAGTTTGTTTGTTTGTTCTGGGTGAATATATCAGAAGTTTAAAAATGTCAAAACTGAGAAGAAGAGCTTTGGATCTGTTCTTCTCTATTTTAATGATGTATTACAGATGTACATTTATTTCCAGATCTTAGCTCTTAAATCTCCATGATCAATATATCCCTTGCTATTTATATTCCAACAATTGCTTATATACAGAAAGTCAAATAAAGCTTGTTTTGTGCACCTAAGATAATCAATTGAACTCAAGGGTGCTGAGCTAATAGACCCGGGGTTAAACGTGGTGCTTGTCATGCAAACAGAATTAACTCTTACACACCTCTGAAGGACTGAAAGTGATATATGTGGCCTGCATATACAAGTGGTGGTCTGGTATTGAGTGCTGTGAGGGAAACATCCAGACCGCCTGGGGCAAAGTAAAGCATTCTGTTTGGAGTCATGCTGGTGTAAAGTCATGCTAATGTTGCTACAGTCCCAGCAGGGCTTATTAAAGTCTCCCTGCTTTTGTTAGGCAGCAGTTTTGTCCTCTATATATTTTTTTAATCACCCACCAAGTGTGCTCAGTGTGAGTCCAGCTCCCAGTGACATGGAGGTGTTGACTAATATGTCTGCACCTTAGGACCAGTTTGCTTTTCTAGTCAGCCTTGATTAAATCTCTCTTTCATATCTGGGAGAAGAGTGCACTCTGGGAAAAGGTTAGGTTCTCATCAAAACTGAGAAGTTAAAGAGGTTGTTATACTTCCTGTGGAGCTCTCATGGTGGAACTGCAGTGCATGATGGGAAGGGATTATGTAGGGCTCTCATCTATAAGTGAGGACGTCAGAAAAGGGGCAGAGATGAGTCCTCAATTAAAGCCACAACCTTATTGCAGTGCTTTAAAATTGTATAAGCTTTGAATACAGATCACGAATGAGGTCAATTGTTTCAGGATATTACTTTATTTCATAGTTTTTTCCAAAAAGCATTATATTTTCAACTATATGTTATTTCATTGTACTTTCTGTTTGATCTATCTTACATCGCTAACTTACTTATTCCTGCACAATAATGTCACTTGCACTATTTTATTACTTTTTTCTTATACGTCATAACTTTATTTTTGTTGCACTGTTGGAGCAGCCCGGGAATTAAAGAGGCCTTATTATGCGTTTTTGGAGTTATCACTTTCCTGTAGTTTGTTATATAGGTGCATGTAAATGGTCTGCAAAGGCTAAAATCTCAACATTTGAGGGTTTCTCTCCCACCCACCCTTCCTGAAACGCCTCTATTGGACTGCTTTGTGTAGTTCTGTAACATAGTGACTTCATTATGTAGTACTCGCGCTTCTATTGGCTAGACCTCCAACACATTGTACGTGATAAGGGGCGGGACTTCTCTAAGCGGTTGACAAATCACAACAGAGCCGGCCAGCTAACCAATCAGAGCAGACTGGGCTCTGGTTTCAGACAGAGAGCTTTTTGAACATTAAAGCATGGAGACATGTCACAGTAGAGACACGAAATGCAATTATGAACCTGAAAGCGATCATAATAGGGCCCCTTTAATATGTTCCTTGCTATTCTGCATTATGACACAAATGCATTTGAATCTTGAATCTCTTGTATTTTTGACTTGACAAGTAGTTTGTGTCAGAGGTACTCCTGTCAGGCACCTCCTCCTGGTCTGATCTGTAAAGGGTTTGAGTCCTTTCTACTTTAAAGACATTCATAACAAGTTTGTTTGCAAGGCAGAGAATAAAAAACCAAGCAAAGCCTCTGAGAAGTTGTCGCTCTTGCTCTGTCACGCGTAAAAAACATTGGAGCCAGACGAGGAAGTCAGGAGGAGGGACCAGTTTGGTGGCGTGGTTTGTGCGGAGAATATACTTTAAACTGGATTCTCCTGACGCCTCCAGCGCTGTGAAACCGGAGGATCTCTCCACTTCTCATTTTCTATCCACAACAGTAATGCGCGCAACAGGACGCGAGACTCCAGAGCTCCTGCTTCTCTGCTCAGAAATGATTTGTTAACCCGCAGTCTTTGTAAGAAAGCTACACACCTTTGCTGTCAATGTCAGCGCAGGTAGGGAAGAGGATCCCGGAAGAACTCGTAGTGCAGGTTACCAGTTTGTTTGCATAGCCTGCGCTTTTTATCCAAAGCGAGCGAGAACCGATGGACTTGTTTGCCTCCTTGCTTAAGTAGTTTTTTATTTCTTAAAGTTTTTTGAAGTGTATAAACGGAGACAAGATGAAGGAGAAGAAGACGATGTACGTGTTGGTGGACGTGCTGTGCGTTGTAGTTGGTAAGTTATGGACACTAAGTACTAGCCTCTTCAGCATTATCTGCCTTTTATCTAGGAATTGCACTTCAGTGTTGTCAGCAGGAAAGCTGATAGCATTTAGATATATCTGTGTGCTGGCAGCAGTTTCTTTCTAATAACTCTGTGCTTGTGTGTTTTCCACCCACGACAGCAACTGAGGAATGCATGTGCACGTTAAAAAGACACAAAGAGGTTTTTAATGAGAGACACCAGAAGCTATCTCTCTTTAAAAGGCAAATGAAGCCACTGTGTTTCCATGCATGAGTCAGATACTGTAAAAGAACAGCCTGTCATCCGGTTTGTTTATCCAAACTGCGATATAGTGCAGGCAGAAATGTGACTTTAAAATATTACCGTGGTGGAACACAAGAGGAAATATCATTCGTATTCTCATCACATGCTGCTCCATGCCCCAAACTATTCAACTGAAACCCTGCAGGACTTTACAGAGCCTCAGGAAGCTCACTGTTTGTTTATGGAAATCTGATATGTGTGTGTGCCCATGCTCATTCCTCTTTTTCTTCAATATTTTGTCTGCCAGGAATCCTGTCTTGAATTCCCCAACTTCCCACATACAGTGCATTTCTAAAGGATGTTTCTTCATCAGTGCTCCACAGACCATTGTTTTGCATTTATAGTTTTCTATTTGAGGGTTACTTTTTTGGTTTTTCCATTATTTTAGTAACTAGTTCACATCATTGTGTTCATGTTTTTGTCTCCTTCTCCCTTTGGACAATGAACAAATAATGCCATGTTGTGGTTAAAGTTTTTAACACGTGTGTTTTGCTGTCCAGATTTGTTGAAAGGATGTGAATATGAGGTTAGGAGGACCACATGTGTCATTTACATTTTAATATAATATACCATTAACATATATGTACATAATTTGGACATTTAACCAGGAATCAATAAAATATTTTACTAAATAAGTATTAAACTCACAAATATATACATTCATTTCTAGGTATTTCATTTGTCTAAATCTACCTTATTGCAATAAAACTTTTTTTTTTAAATAAGTCAGTACACTAATAATATTTATATAACATTTAAATAAATATGTATAGAGAAATGTCATACAATACAACAATCAATAAATGCATAATAAAAAAAATCCACTAACAGCTTAAAACATAAAAACATCTGAATGCTTATTAAACCGTCCTGGTCCTCCGTTATACGTTACTAAGAAAACATTGAAATCACAAATACCAGCAAAAGTGAGAGGCATCACTCTCAGAAAATCCGTTTTCTGCCTCAGATATTTTACATGTATTTGGAATGTAGCACCCTGCTGGGACTTTGGTTTTACTGTACTATTGCAACAATCCCTTTGCAGACGTGTTGTGTAATAGTCTGGTGTGTGGCGGCATGCTCATCCCCTGTTGTGTCTGCATTCAAAGAGAAAACTCAGAAAAGGATGTGTGGATCTGCTCTGTTGTGCAGTTTCAGCCCCTCTCTTGATTTTCAGAGAGCTTAGGGGTACTTTTTCCGTCTGTGGGAACATCCACAGACTGCTGAAGTTGATAAGCCTCACCATTTCGCTGTCACAAGTCTGGGATTGACGTCTGAGTTGGGCTGAGGTCTGGATAACTGCATCCCACCAAACAGTGCCTCTCCCTTCCCCTCTGCCACCCACGTCAGCCCGCCAAATAATCGTCAAGTCAACCCCAAGCTTATGTGAGGTTGCCCAAGCCATGTAATAACAACGTAGGACTTGTAATTATGCTCACCATTAGCCCGTACGGAAACAGTTTGGACTTGGGATTTGTCTGCATTTTGAGACCATTTACGTAGAAAAATTCACGTGTGATTCCACCAACGCTGACTCTAATCCTGTCTAATGTACAACTTATTTTATCTTCTCAAGCTTTTCTTCACAGCCCATTTCTTTATCTGCACTATGTTCACCTCTGACTCTGAAATATTAATCTCCTAGATACGATCACTGAGGGATTTCCTTCACGCTCTGTCACTCACACCCTGCCCTGCCCAGGTCAAACTAACAACACCTGAGATGTTCCACCTTCTACAGTATCAAACACTGTCTTTTCACTTCTCAATGGAGAAATGTGAATCAAAATGGCTGCTGAAAGCCAAAAAGTGTCCTTGTTTACTTATTCCTGTCTTGTCTGATGCACCATGGAGGGCATTTAGTTGCTTTTCAAAAATCTGCCTTTTTGTTCATTCAAGGCCTACCTCCTCTTTCTCCATTCTTTCTCCATTGTATCCCTCCCTTCCTTTCTCCTCCTCTGTCTCTGTAAGCTTACACTCAGCACAAATAGACGATGGGTGTTGGCTCCGAGAGCAAAGAGGAAAGGCTAATATTAACCTCTTTGCACAGTTTATACTCAGGTGTAGTTCTATAGGTGCAGGTTGTTCAGGAGGAGGAGCCTGCTGTATTTCAAGATGGGCTTGAGGCAAGGCATTCACACACAACTTTGTTTTTCCCTGTGTGCTGTAATGTAGGTTATGAAAACCAGTTTTTCAAATGTCTATTAAGTGTTTTTCAATTACTCAACTCAACAACAACACCATTTTCCAGTCATGTGATATTTTGTTATTTGAAAGATGCCGTGCCAGAAATACGACTCTTTTTTAATATGTCAAGCATCTGTTTAGTGTATACTAGTCCCCTGGATTTGAGCTCCAAGCTTAACAGTATAAACAATAGACTTATTATAAGAGATGGACACTGTGAAGTTACCCGGTGGTTTTATAAACTACGCTTATGAAGCCTGGAGTTTGGTGTTTTGATCGTCGCCATCTTGTTTTTTTGTCAACCAGATACGACATAGAGGGTGAAGCGAAGTACAAGCTAATGACTATAAAGTTACACATTTTAGAATTATCTTTCAAAACTGAAAAACTGTCAAGAGTTGAAGTTGTAAAATAAAAACACAAAGGGCACGTAGCATGGACCTGTCGATCACAAGGTAGCCCCGCCCTAAAACATGCGCTGCTTTATCGTCCGTTTTGCTCTTAATTATACCTTTTTTAATTTACAAAATTAACACCATAAGGTAGGAAAAAGTCCTGAAACCAAAGAACCCGTTGGTAAAATGTATTTTGAATTAATAAATCAAGTAAGAAGTAATTTTCTCGTATCCTTCTATACAGTTTGTATTCACACATCATGAATGATTATCCGATGTTCATCCCAAAACACACGGCTGTAAAACTTTGAAATCTTAGAGTTGCTACGTTTTTCCTTGCATTATTTTCCTCTTAGTAGATTTGGCTTACATGTACACATCCCCACGCTCTGTTCTCTGACCTCGCTGATGTCTGTGAGAGTTTGTCAGCGCTGTCTCCGGGGAGCTTGGCCTCTGATGCGGTCGCGTTGGGAAGAATGATCGTCCCGAGTTCTCAGTGAAAGGCAGTTAAGTCGCTTGATGGGAATTGTTTTCCTCAAGAGAGCTCTGTCATGGAAACTGAAGCCCTTTTAACAAACAGACACGTCCCACTGAGAAATATGAGCCTGTTATTCTTCTTCTACTCCTTATTGTTGGCTTTTGATTGATCGTAATTGCACAAGGATTTCTGGTAAATCCTTTTAAATCATCAGTCTTAAGTGGATTAGGATCTTTTGTGGTGGTCGTTTTGAAAATAACAATCATAACCACATTTGATTTAGAGACATTACAGCCACATTCCCCAAAAATAAATTCAAGACAAGAGCAGATTTTAGTTTTTAGAGGGGCCCTATTATGCTTTTTGGGGTTTCCCATTTCCTGCAGTGTGTGTAGGTTTTCGTGCATAAATGTTCTGCTGAAATCCCAAAGTTCCCTCTAATGGGAGTTTCTCTCCCGCACAACATGCATGATTTGAACATTAAAGTGGATCTATCATGCTATATTTGAATAATATATTGTAGGGCCATACCTATATAAAACATGTCTGTTAAGTTTTTTTTTCAAAATACCAAACAGATCATGCATTTTAGCCATCCTTCATTTCGCTCTATTTGCTCTTTTCCAGCCCTGTTTTTGCAGGGGCTGATTCTGTGAGAAGTCTTCTTCACTGCTTTTGTGGCAGACTACAGCGCCACCTACAGGCCTGGCATATGTACTACAGCTTCTCCAGCACTTTCGAGCGGCAATGGCCGTGGCCCAACCCCACATTCCCCTGATAGGTGGAGAATTGCCCATATAGGCGGAGCACCCCTTTCTGACGTCAGAAAAATTCAAATCTGTATCAGTCTGTATCAGCTCCGTTGCAGCCCCGTTTTTAGAGATTTGGGTATGGAGGAAAAGAGAGAGGGTTGTGTTTTCTGACAATTGGTGAGTTCCCTGGAACACCGGAGACACATATTCATGTATAAAAGACGAACAAAAGTGTATTTTGCATGATAGGTCCCCTTTAACGCATGTACAAATGTCACAGTAGAGACACAAAACATAAAAATAAACTTGAAAATGAGCATAATATGTCATCTTTTAAAGCTGAATTAAATTGCTGGATGAGTACATGCCAACATCTGTATTCTTCCCAGTGAAGTGAGTCAGAAAACATAAGCATAGAGAGTGAAGCCAGGAAACAGGGTTTTGGAAAATGTGGTCCTAATTTGGAGAAACGCTAACAATACCACTGGGGTTAGACAGAAAATAAACATAGATCCATTTGCATTCAGTAATTATACAGAAGAATGACTATATATTTAGCTATGATATGCAGACAAACTGTCAGAGGAGCTCAGCACCATTCATGATATTTCTACAGTGAAACTCCTCCTGCAGACATTTGTGGGTTTCAGGATTAAACCTGTGTGGCCCACGTCTTTCATCCCCTCCAAACCCAGACTCTTTGATTGCCAGATTTACCCGCCCTCCCACCACCTCTCCTGCCACCGTGTCTCCTTCTGCGATGCTTGGATCTAAGCATGCGTAAATGATGGACGGAGCGAAACAGCAGGATTAAAAATAAAGAATGGGCAGCAGCAGGATTCGGTGTGACTGGTGAAGTTGGGCGTTCCTCGTGTGAATTTGAATTCCAGAGGCCTACACCGGCAGAGGTTGTAGGCTCAGCGCATACCTTCCACATTAGTCAATCCGGCTTGGGGTGAGACAGTCAGAAAGAGGGAGCGCTCAGTTGTTTTTGTACTGAGAGCCATCATGTTGATAGAGCTTTGGTGCAATAGGTTTCCTGCTGTCGTTTCAACAACGCATGTTTCAGAGTGGAGAGAGGAAACAAAAGAGAGCAGGGTAGAAAAAAAGTGGAAACTGCTGCTAAGGGGAAAAATGCCTTCCTCTTTCCTCGTCCAATTTGTAAGGGGATAGTTGACAGATGGAGTAAATCACTTAAGGGTGACACTGGGTGAAACATAAAGAAGGAATAGCATGAATGCAAGAGGCAACAAGAGCTTTTAAAGAGGCCATATTATGCTAATTTCCAGGTTTCACAATTGTATTTTGCGCCTCTGCTGTCTCTTTAATGTTCAAAAAGCATACTGCCTGTGTTGCAGCACCTCTTTACACCCTCGGTCTGAAACCAGAGCACAGTCAGCTCTGATTGGTCAGCTGGCCATCTCTGTTGTGATTGGTCAACCGCTTTGAGATGTCATTTACATTTACAGTTACATGTACAAAGTCTTATACAACACTATAGGGAAGGGAAAAACCCCAAAAAGCATAAAAGGGCCCCTTTAAACCCCACTAAACTAACATTTTTGGAAGGTTTCAATACAGAAGGAAAGATGGTTTGGAAAGGGGGAGAAAAATACATAAAGAAAGAACTCACACTTTATTGAACTTCCACTGGAAAGACGAGAAATGTGAGTACAATTTAATTAGGAGGGGCAAAAGTTCCAGCTGTGACCCTGAAGGGAAGTTTGAGACCAAACAGGGCAACACACACACACACACACACACACACACAGGCTTAACAGGCCTTGAAAATATGCATACCAAAAACCCAGACTGTATGTTTTTCAAATTGAGAGAATAATTGTCCGTCCACATGGTTTTGCAGGTGCAGCAGGTTGTGTCAGGGAAACCAGGGCAAGTAGGTGTGAGGTTCTCTCAAACCGCTGGAGCGAATTCCAGATGATCGAGGCGTCAACTTTCCTCTAGGTGGAAATGAGAGAGAGAGAGGGAGAAAGACAGAAAAACTGAGATAACAAAAAAAAGGCAGAGCGAGAGGACATGACGAGCCTCGAATCTCAGCCCCAGAGTGCGATTGTGGTCCAAATGGCCCGTCGTAATTGCACATCTGTCAGCTAAATAAAGCAGCATCCCATTTTGTGTGGGAGGACGCTGCAATCAAAAGAATGACAGACAAGGAGATGGAGCTCCAGGGAGAAGAATGAATGACTTTGAATGAGAGAAAAAAAAACGAATGGAGGATGTGGATCAGCAGTGGTGGAAGGAATGGAGGGCAAATCCCTTCTTACACTGACATCTTTGTTTGTCCGTGGTATCAATTCATGCTCACATTTCCCATGGTGCTATTTAATGACATGCAGTCGTCATCGCCATCCTTTTTGTCGCAATAATGCCCCTTTCAGCAGGGGGCAGAAACAGAGATGCTTCTGCGAAAGAATGCTAATTTGCGGCCAGGTAAATGAGAAGCCTCGTCAAATTCCCAGAATAGCACTAAAGCTCTAAAGTGGGCCTTTTCTTAATCTGACACAGGAAAGCTTGAGCTCTGCATCCTGCTACTTCAAAACAGGCTGCCATTTGGGGATCAGGCAGGAGATTTCTGACTGGCAGCTGGAGATTAGCTTCCTGGCTACATTTCAAACTGGCAGCGTTTTCCTGCCTCCATCCGTAAAAAGCAGGTGTCTTTTTAAAAGAAGGTTCTCCTGTATCCTGTGTCAGTACATCCACCCCCTCTACCTTCCCTCCTCCATGTATGTGTTGTTTTTCTCCTGGAGCTCTGGAGCAGGGTCAGCTCGGGTTGCGGGGTTGTCTCGTGGTATCCTGGAGACATACTTTGTCTGCCAAAGGGTCTATTTCTGCTTGCGAGCTGTGCTTGTTTGCTTTTCAAAAGAGTGGTTGGTTTGTTTCTTGCATGTATAATCCACGGAGGCTCTGCTCATGAGACACATTCACACACCTCAGGATGTACCATTCGTTCTGCACAATCCAGACTGTTTAGATTATTGTAGTTCAGCGCTTTTAATTTCATCCAACTTGTAATTTATGACAAGTAAAATCATATGTCAGCTGAATAAGTGCTTTACTTGTGAACACAGAAATGAAAACGTTATACTTTATTTTTACAAGCCAGGGGAGGGTTTTTTAAGGCCAGGTGTGCTAACTTCACTCGGTTCATGAAGTTTGTGGCAAACTGGCATGATTTGAGTTTGTTTAAGGGGATTTATTAGGCGCAAAAACACTCGTTAATACCTAGACATATGACGAAGCAGATAATACAAATGACACTTTCAAACGTACCGTTGTTGATGTACATCCAAAAGCTATTTAGACTTTTGAACGCTTGCTAATTTGGAGAAGTAAGTGTATTTCATTAGCTGCTGGCTTCTCTTTGAAGTGTTTCAGTTCATTTTTCCCTCCTTGCTCAGCCGTGATTAATGGCTCCGCTCTGGCAAGTGTTAAAAGTTTCATAAAAGAGTTTGAAGTTAATACACCAAATGACTGCAATGTAGAAATAATTATGTCTGTATTTCATTTGTGACATTGACCATGCTCTATTAAGAAAATAAACATTCCCACTGACTTTATCCAGGCCCATCCTACAAAAAAAATATTTTATTTTCTGAATCCAGTCTAACAGGTATTTGCTTTACTTAACAAGTTGGTATTGGCCGACATAATATGTAGAGTGGAAACCGATTTAATCTGTCTACTCCCTCACCATGTCTCCCTGAGCAAAGACAAATGTTTGTTTGTATGTCTGGAGATGCAAATACCGTGATAGTATTATGTTTTTAGATAGGATATCTGACATGCTGTGTACATTTTAATCTTGGCCTTACTGGATATATAGGAGGAGTCTGGAGACGTGTAAGATAATTTTTTAAAGATCACGGTGGTCATTAGAAGAAAGTTTAAATTCAGAGTTAACTAGAATTCCCTTTCTTTAGTTTATATACAGAGATTACATATCTTTAAAAGCAAGCAACTGTATCACAGCTGTCAGTGGCGGCTGGTGGAAATTTATTTTAGGTGGGGCTATTGTAATGGTGAATAAACCACACGGGGAACATTTTGAGAAATTGACCCCTTAAATTATGACTTCTGGTGATGTTAGAGATATGAGAAGACTGATCAATACCTCCATAATCTTCAGTGTGGTTAGCTATGAATCTTCCAAAACTTCCAAATACCTTGTCCTGGACATAGTTTCTACAGTAAACTGTGCAACAGTACAGTAGGCCCACACAAACTACAGAACACTGGTTCTTTGGGAACACTCAAATGATTTAATTCCCATTTAAAATCAGGAGACTAAATACGAACATTATATGCAGACACAGNAATTCGATGGTCAGCTCGACGGTAGGTTATCCATGAGAGACGTTCACGGTCTTCATCGAATAATATGTCGCTACGTAAGTCTCTTTTTGACAGTTGCCCGGTTGTTATGCGTGTTGTACTCGGGCCTACAGCTCATCCACTGTGCACGGCGCGAGGGGTGAGCACATGTCCTTAGCGAGTGATGTTAAAACACTGGGGACGCACACTGATACGGCACTCACTGCTACTATTACGCGCCCGTTGCCAAGTAACATTACTCGCGCCCAAATGACACGCCATATCACGCACACCCTCAAAAAAACACGCACGAGCATATAACGGCCATTATCCAAGTAGACCTCAGGTCGTGGAGTCGTGGGGGTGAGTTTATGGAAGGCGCCGCGAGATTCACGATGTAGTGCACAACATCCCGTCGCTTCGCGTAAGAGACCAACGTGAGAACGTTGTGATTTAGGTCTCTTTGCACCCAACGGCGTCATGATATTCCAACTCAGCTGCAAAAGAATGAATCTTATTAAAGTAGCCGCGGATGAGGGAAGAGCTTTGGCAGGTACCTTGATATAACAAAAAACCGACCGAGGCTAGTATTGATACAAATCAGGTTGATACAGGTCGGATGAAGGCGTCGCTTGACCTAAACATCAGTAACAGATAACCCGGACTTTGTACGATATTTTCTCTGTTAGACAATTAACGTGTACGTGTTACTCCCGTTAATATTTGTTCCTGTCTCAAACAAAGAAACAGGCTCCGCAACATTTGTCGGTCTTTCTTTAAGACCTGAAGTTCTAACAGTAGATCGCTTACTATAGACCGTACCTCCTTAGACAAGGAAAAACGGTGTACGTGCAGTAATGGAATGGGTGGAAATTAATTATCGCGATCACATTTAACTGTACGAGAGACGACAAGTCTGAACTCCTCCTTCACACTTTGAGCCAGGGTAGTCGTCAATTCGCGCCTTTTTTACCTGACAAACACAGCCTAACGAACCGAGGCTAGAAAGGAGACCTAACAGTACCCGTTACACAGCGTACCGACGGCCATCTGAAGTACACCCTACGACGGGCTGGTAGGTTAACACAGCATTGAGGCTAAGCTAAGGTCAAATACCTTCCAGTCTAGCCTGCGCCACTGGAAGCGTGACTGAACGTGTTGTGCGCGGTAGCTGGCAACATCGTCTCCGGGAGCAAGAGACTTCTCCTCTACCGTCTCCTTCTCCGCTGACAGTCGGACCGCGGGGTCTTAGAGGCGACGACTTTGCTTCCGAGGCTTCCGTAAAAGGCCCGACACATTAACAAGAATATCCGTCGTTCACGACAGAGTCTGTTTTTCCGCGCCTAATTCTATTAACGGCCATTAAAGGTTATCTGGATTAGAGAACTCTAGCGACAAAACACATCTTTACCTGACTACAACGGCGACCTAAAAATGCCGCACTCGAGCAAAAGTAGCAGGCACCACTGTTTTCACAGGAGTGGTTACCAAATCTATGCATACTGCTGCAATAAGTACATTAATTACAGTGGCGGCTAGTGGAAATTATTTTAGGTGGGGCTATTGTAATGGTGAATAAACCACACAGGGAACATTTTGAGAAATTAGCCCTTAAATTAAATTGGCTACACTATTTCATTGTTGCTGTTGTATGATTGGTGTTTAGCTACGGTATTTAGCGTCTACAGCACCTCCGCTTTTAGGGTTGACGTAGACCCAAACGTCGCCCGGAGGTCCCCCGGTGTTGTTGCGGGAGCTGCTGCACTAGCTAACGCTCCACTAGCTAACGCTACATTAGCAAAACAAACGCTTATTTCTTTTGCAAATGATGCGGCGGGCTTCAAACACGTTCCCCTCCACTGGTTTCAACCAAGCACTAAATTAGATGTTTTCCAACCAAATACGGTTGAACTGACACTTCCCCATATTTATTTGTAAGTAGATTCGAAGATACATGAGTTTCTGACTGCCGCAAGCTGAAGCTTGGTTGCTAGGTTACTAGCTGGGTGTTCTCCGATAAGGGGCCGGGGGAAACAAAGTTAGTGATTACTGGTTCCATGTTGATTTAATTCAATACAAATTGTTGGGGGGAACTGAAAGGCTATTACCGTACTGGTTACTTTGCAGCCCGGACATTTCCCCTAAAACACATTTAGACGCTATCGCAACACAGAAGTACCTTTCAAATCCGATCATTTTTAAGACCTTCTAAATCATATTTAAGACCTTTCTTATTTTTTTGGTCATATTTAAGACCTTTTTAAGGCCTTACATTCAGATTATCAAATGCAAGACTTTTTAAGAGGAGACTAAATACGAACATTATATGAAGACACAGATGTGGTTCAGGTTGAAATGTTTTAGCTCTATGAAACCTGATGTACTCATATGATTCTGTTTTCTTCAAGTTTGTATTTTGTTGGTCGAACGCACTTATTGTAAGTCGCTTTGGATAAAAGCGTCAGCTAAATGCAATGTATAATGATCTCTTTTATTGGAATAGCCCGCAAAGAAGCGGTTCATGGAAGTTTGCTGAGGTACACTCATCTCTGCACCTGCTCTCACCTCTACACTCTCTGACACCAGCACCCTGACAGCACTGTCCAGTCCGGTCGGGTGCTGGTGTCCGTAATAGTTCGCTTGACGGATCATTAGTTCCGAGCGATCACAGAGCTGCCGAATCCGTTTATGGTTCGTTTTTTGTTTTTTCCATTTCAAAACCGAATAGGAAAAACAAAGAAAACAGGGGTATGTCTGGTCGTGTGTGTGTGTGTGTGTGTGTGTGTGTGTGTGTGTGTGTGTGTGTGTGTGTGTGTGTGTGTGTGTGTGTGTGTGTGTGTGTGTGTGTGTGTGTGTGTGTGTGTTTATTTAGCACGGGGCACATAGCATCTGTCCCCGGCTGTTTGAAGAGCAAGCATGGGAAACAAAAGACAGTGTTTACCTCTTTGCATCCAGCTAGTCACACACACAGTTACAATCACACTCCCTGTAATTGACATAATTAATAGATAGTTTAGCTTCTCACCATCATTTGCTGTGGCCCACTGATGTTAACGATCGTAACTGAAAGGCTGCCTGCCAAAAGTAAACATTCAGCCACGTGA